AACTCCTCAGTGCTGTATGTGTGACAGCTGCAGCAGTGGGAGAGCACTCAGCTGCAGATGTAGAGTGTAACCCAAATTCATATACCTGTTTACAACAAGTACATAAATCTGTCACCCACACTGACATTTATTTTGTGGGGGCACAATGAAATTCTAAAGAATACCCCTGTAAATGTATTAGCACATACCAAAGAATGTACACAAAGCCTGTTTCAAATTTTTTTTTCTTTGTAAGGAACTGCAAACAGCAAGGATTTTTATGCTTTCTGTAAACTGCAATAAACTAAAAAAAGAACAAAAAGAGCATCCTACTAGGTCAGAAAAATGTGTATCCAAATTATATAAATCAAATTTCTGGGTGGGAGCCATCCACAATATCCATAATCCAAAAAGAACATATAATACAAATGAACTTATGGCTCAAACCAATCCCAACCTTTATAGTAATATCAATGTAACCCCTTCATGCTCACGTAAGACAGATATGCGGTCTCAGAGAATTGGGCTTTTTTCCATGGGGATGCACATTTGCGTACCTGTCTTTGTGCTGGGAGCGCACCACACAGCGTGCTCCCAGCACAAAGACCGGGGTGTCACTGAGAGCCCCGGGTCCCGTTCTAATGTCACGATTGCGGCATCAGACCCCTGACCTTCTCACCAAACCTCGTGACCGAAGGACTGGCCAATCTGACACCGTGATGTCACGTGCGTAACAATGCCACACCCAGCTGCACCCTGCACAACGATTTTCCAGCTAACTGGACCACAATCAATGTACCGGCAGCCTGAGCGATTGTTACTGGGTCAGGTTAATTATGCAATTAATCCTTCACACTGCCACCACCTCCTTTTTGTACAGAGAAAGAGGAAACTCGGCGATATCAGCTAAAACACTATAATGGTTGAGATAATCGTCTGCATAATACGGTCACCGCAGGCCGATTATGCAGAGGGTTAAACAAACACAGTAGCATTCTTTTTAGAGGCAGGAATTCATAAATTGCAATAAAGCGCTATAGAAACAGTTCAACACTTTCAGAAGGAAAGATTTATTACTAAAAGGTCAAACGGGAGCAATAAAAATATTTACAGAAAAAGATGTAACTAAGATATATATATAAATATACAGAGACTAACAGCACAGCAAAGAGAACGCATATTTTGGCCCATAACTTTACATCTGCAAAAGTGACATTCCACCCGCGGATAGATTATTATGCAGACACGTCTGAGAATTGATTAGATATGAATTTTGAAATTATACACTGAACGGTTCACGAGATCTATTTTTCGGCTTTCCTATGTATTCAAGACAATGCGAGTGACCTACCAAACTGTTCGCCTTCTCGTGGCCAATCTGACGACATGTCCGTTTTTTATGTAAGTCTCTCATATTCCAAGATATGAGACATAGGGGAAAAATGGATTTTAACAAAGGTTATCTGGTCGTGTTTCCTGGGAAGGTTCTTTGAACTCTGGGGAAAGCTTGCCTTATCTTATACGAGGTGTTATATTGCACAGGTTCTTTGGACAGCTAGGCCCTGGCTCAGAGAGGTGTTTTATAGCTCTGGGCTCCCTGCTGGCTCTAGCCTGCCAGTGACCCACAACCAGATGTCACTGTGGCTGAACAGAGAGGAAGGGGGACAATGAGGGGGGGGGGGGAACATGGCGAACTCTTAACAAAAATGGAGGACTGCGTCAGTCTCTGGGTATAACGCTGTTACACCGGGAACTCCCTCCCAATTCCGTGTCACATGATTGCTGTGATAGCCTCTGATTGGCTATCACAGTGATCGGTCACTGTACAGCCCACCTCCCTTATTTTTCTTTACTCTATGAATGGAGGAGAGAGATACACTGTAAAAAAAAAAAAAAAAAAAAGATAAATAAATAAATATTAAAAAATAAAGCAAAACATTCCAGGGTTAGCGTTTGGGTAAAAGTCACGGTCAAAGGTCAGTATTTGTTTTGTTAAATTGGTATCAGTGTCAGTTAGTGTCCGTGTCTTTTAGGTAAAAAAACAAAAACAAAAAACAGAATGCGCACTATTGTTTCTGGGCTGTACTGTGGGTACAAACAACAAATAAGAAACACATGTATGGTATCGCTGCAATCGTCAAGAGATGGAAAATTTATTTTGGGTTGTTCTTTGGTGGTAGGTTATGGTAGTAACACAGCTGAATTAAAAATAATGATTTTTTACTATTTTGGACCAGTTTTCCTTTGATAAAAAAAAAAAAAAAAAAAAATTAGGAGATATCCATAACTATTTACCACCAAATGAAAGCCCAATTTGTCCTGAAAAAAAAACAAGGTATAATCCACCTGGATATACAAAGTAGTTGTGATGATATGTACGGTTTTACTAACACATGTCAAAGTTGCAAGATTGTGCTTAGGCGTTAAGATTTGTTTTACCCTTAGGCATGAAGGGGTTAAATATGATGGTAAAGATAAACGAAATAGAGATTACTCCCTGACAGACGTCTTTTTAATTTTTTTTAAGCTTTCATGAAAAAAATAATTGTAAAACATAACAAATGGTACCTAGTGGGTTAAATATACACAAAGCACCTGTCATGATCCCAAATGCACATACACTATATTGACAAAAGTATTGGGATGCCTGCCCTTACATGCACATGAACTTTAATGGCATTCCAGTCTTAGTCCGTAGGATTCAATATTGAGTTGGCCCACCCTTTGCAGCTATAACAGCTTCAACTCTTCTTTTGTCGTACGAGAAGGCCTGGCTCACAGTCTTCGCTTTAATTTATCCCAAAGGTGTTCTATCGAATTGAGGTCAGGACGCTGTGCAGGCCAGTCAAGTTCTTCCACTCCAAACTCGCTCATCAATGTCTTTATGGACCTTGCTTTGTGCGCTGGTGCGCAGTCATGTTGAAACAGGGAGGGGTCACCCCCAAACTGTTCCCACAAAGGTGGGAGCATGAAATTGTCCAAAATGTCTTGATATGCTGACACCTTAAGAGTTCCCCTCACTGGAAGTTAGGGGCCTAGTTCAACCCCTGAAAATCAACCTCACACCATAATCCCCCCTCCACCAAACTTTACATTTGCAGTCAGGCAAGTACAGTTCTCCTGGCAACCAACAAACCCAGACACGTCCATCAGATTGCCCGATACAGAAGCATGATTCATCACTTCAGAGAACATGTCTCCACTGCTCTAGAGTCCAGTGACGGCGTGCTTTATACCGCTGCATCTGACGCTTTGCATTACACTTGGTGATGTAAGGCTTGGATGCAGCGGCTCGGCCATGAAAACCCATTCCATGAAGCTCTCTACGCACTGTTGTGCTAATCTGAAGGCCACATGAAGTTTGGAGGCCTTTAGCTATTGACTCTGCAGACAGTTGCTGACTTCTGCGCACTGTGCGCTGACCCTAAGGACCAAGGCTATAGGTAAATGGATGAATACAAACTGAAAGTCCTTCCACGGTTTGCTGAGGAATATCCTTATCTTTAAATTAATTGCAATTTTTCAGCAGTGTAAATAATCCAGAAAGATGTAAATGTTGCATAACATGCAAAAAAAGGATATCATTAAACATCATGGATATGGATGTAATCCTGGAAATCAAATTTGAACAGAGATGATTTCTGTGGTCCAGAGAAGCAATGAGTGAAACAATTGGTGAATAGATGACTGAAGATACTTTGTCTTTATCGCCTTGTACCTCCCTCACACAGATATCCAGCACAGACATACTTCAACAGTCTTATTGTATATGAAACAAAGACTGGCGTGTCAAACAAATTGGTTAGCCTTTATATAGTCAAGATGACCACCGATATGTTCACGATGCATGCACAGTGCATGATGATGTCATGATGCATGTGACGCAACGATGCGCGTGATGTCATATGCAATGGCCATCTTAGGATTCTAGACCCATCGATGGATCCACACATGAATATAAATATAGTATAATGAGTCACTCTATAATTCAAGGCATACTTGTAAAAAAATTTTGCAAGTCCAGCAGTCTCCACAAGATACCAACAATACCCTACTGGCCTAAACATATTAGTCAGGACCAAATAGTATATATTTTAATTTCAGGAGAACCAGACACTATGGACGATATAGTCAATGTCTACCACACAATTAAATTAAATTAAACAGTGGAAATCCATCACTAGGGCTATTATACAAATGTGTATAAGAAAAAACAATACATATTAAAAACACTCAAGGACATCTGTCACTGGGGACAACATCAATAATTTCTATCCCATATTCCAATACTATATAACCCTTCAAATTCCATCTACCGTATATACTCGAGTATAAGCCGAGTTTTTCAGCACATTTTTTGTGCTGAAAAACGGCCCCCCTCGTCTTATACTCGAGTCAACGTCTGCAGATGTCTAGCAGGGGGCACTGCTTCTAAAGCAGCGGTTCTCAACCTGTGGGTCGCGACCCCTTTGGGGGTCGAACAACACTTTCACAGGGGTCGCCTAAGACCATCGGAAAACACATATTTCCGATTGCCTTAGGAACCGAGACACCGCTCCTCTATCCGTCTCCAGGTGTGGGCGGGATGACATGCCGTCCCTGTCATCTGGACACACCCCCGGGATCAATCCTCGCCGGTGATTGGCCGCCGGAACTGTAGCTCAGGAGAGGAACACAGGCGCCCAATCACCGGCGAGGAGGTGGAGCTTGGAGAGGAGGAGCCGAGCGGCACCGCGAAGATCGAGCGAGTGAAGAGGAGGAGAGCGGCCGGAGAAGGAAGACATCTGACCGGTAAGTGTGTACCATGGGAGAGGGAGGGAGCGAGCGAGCCCAGGCTGGAGCAGGGGTCAGCAAGGTAAGTATCATTGGTGTCAGTGGGAGGAATAGTGCCCAATCATTGGTGTCACTAATACCAACGATGGGGGCACTATTCCTCCCCCCACTGACACCAACGATGGGGCACTATTCCTCCCCCCACTGACACCAACGATGGGGCACTATTCCTCCCCCCACTGACACCAACGATGGGGCACTATTCCTCCCCCCACTGACACCAACGATGGGGCACTATTCCTCCCCCCACTGACACCAACGATGGGGCACTATTCCTCCCCCCACTGACACCAACGATGGGGCATTATCCTCCCCCCACTGACACCAACGATGGGGCACTATTCCTCCCACTGACACCAACGATGGGGCACTATTCCCCCCACCACTGACACCAACGATAGGGCACTATTCCACTGACACCAACGATGGGGCCCTCCCCCAAATGACACCATTGGTCTCTATCTTTATTTTTTACATTGACTAGTAGGTGCCTCATTTCCCACCCTCGGCTTATACTCGAGTCAATAGTTTTTCCCAGTTTTTTGTGGTAAAATTAGGTACCTCGGCTTATATTCGGGTCGGCTTATACTCGAGTATATACGGTAATCTATCATTATTATAATATAGGCAGATTAGAATAACCAGTGAACGGCATGCAAAAAAGGTGACTTATCTAGACCTGTCTATTGAGAGTATGATCAAAAACAACACTTTTTAGGAAGGCGACTGCCATCAACAATTTGTTACATGCCAAAAGTTTTCCACCCACAAACATTAATTTAGGGCATTCCAGTCAGGCAATATCTTAGAGCCCAGAGAAACTGTACTGATGAAAAGAACTTTGAGAAAGAGGCACGAAAAGCAGATTTCGTAAAAGAAGCTATAAGAATAAATGGCTAAATACAGCCTAAAGACGTGCTAAAAAATAATGACTGTGAGACTTTGTTGTTTAACCAAAGGGAGATCTATCCTGTCTAAAAATGTTGGGCAGTTGAGGTGGTACCCCAGGAACTCCTGGGGAGGCAATTTTGATCAGGTCCTTTTACAACATGAGGCCAGGTAGATTTGGGAGCTTAAGGAGACCAAACCACCTGGCCTCAATGACAGTTTGAGCTTTGCCCCATTTTTACATACATAGGAATTATGCATCCCCTGGAGGGAGGCTGCAATATGAAGTTACCTAGATTAGATTAGAAAAATTATAGATTAGACGGAATTGAGGGGTGATATAGTATTGGAATACTGGATAGAAATGATTGATGTTGTCCCTAGTGACAGATGTCCTTGAGTGTTGTTTAATAACTTAAGGACTGCCCTATAGCACATTTACTGATACAGGGCAGCCCTCCTGTGCAAAATCACGTATATATAAGTACTTTTTCATTTCCACCACAGGGGGCGCATGCGCTGCCAGTGGCTCGCTTCTGCTGTGAACACTCACAGCAAAAGCCGATCTGCATGTCCTGGCAAATGGGATGGCACCCACTGATCGTTGGGCAGGAGAAAGAACAGAGCTCTGCCTATGTAAACATGGCAGAGCTCTGTTCTGACAGGTGGTGAACTGAAGGATCATATGTCTCTGGAAAGCTGGGAACATGATCCTTCAGTTCCTGTAACAGCGCCACCTAGTGTGCACCAAGCACATAGCTAGGCACACATTTAACCCTTTGATTGTCCTAGATGTTAACTAGTGTCAATAGTACAGTGATCAGTGCATATATTTAGCACTGATCACAGTATTAGTGTCGTTGGTTCCCACAAAGTGTCAGTTAGTGTAAAAACGTCCGTTGTAATATTGCAGTCCTGCTATAAGTTGCTGATTGCTACCATTACTAGTAAAATAAATAAATAAAAATTCCAGTATATGTCCCATAGTTTGTAGATGGTATAGCTTTTGTGCAAACTAATCAATATACACTTATCAGGATTTTTTTTACCAAAAATATATGGAATATATTTTGGCCTAAATTTATGAAGAAATTTGATTTCTAAAATGTTTTATTGGCTATGTTTTATAGTTGAAAATTAAAAATACTGCGTTTATTTTTTTTTTGTTTATGACACAGAAAGTAAAAGGTGATCAAATACCACCAATATAAAAGTCTATTTGTGGGGTTAAAAAGGGACATAAATTTCATTTATGTACAGTGTTGCATGACTACGCAATTGTCAGTTAAAGTAATGCAGCGCCATATCGCAAAAATGGCCTGGTCAAGAAGGGGGGTATATCTTGCCCGGAGGACAAGTGGTTAATATGCATTGTTCTTCTTTTACCACTGGAGACCACTGGACTTGCACCATTTTTATATAAGTATGCCTTGAGTTATAGAGTGATTCTTTATACTTTATTTATGTGTGGATCCACTATATTTATGTGTGGAGGCCAATCTAAGATAGCCTCTGCGTATGACATCATGAACGTCGTTATGTAATGTGCATCATCACGCTCCCCGAATGCGCGGGGAACATATTGGTAGCCATCATGACTATATAAAGGCTGACCAATTTGATATGTGCTTGCCTCTGATGCAGCCGGTTGGAGCCGGGGAAATTGGTTAGGCTTTCTTCTACACCCACCATGGATCCCCTAATATGAGAGACTGAGTTTGGGACTTTTATAACTACTACAAATATGGCTTTACTCGCTTTACCTGTTTCACAAACTTCATGGGCGCTAGTGCAATGGATGAGGCTATCTACACATGATGGATGTCTGTGTGAGGGAGGCATGAAGTAACCACATAACATATGAAAGATACATCCTTTTCCCTATCAGCGCACCATTTCCTCCTCTGGACCACAGTGAACATTTCTGCTCATAATAGAGGTCTAAAATCACTCCAGTCTTTGTTTCATATACAATCAATAAGACTCTTGAAAGTTATGACAACCACATTTAGCTGTGTATTGTGGTGAAGACACAGGAAATGGAAAACGTGAAATAGCCTAAAAGTCTAATCCAGACCGCCATCAACTTTTAATTCAGTATATACCTTAAAAGAAAAGGTGTGAGGTAATCATTTTTCAAGAAGCAAACATGATATGATGATGAAAACTCATATTTTCCTGCCACTATGCACATTCCCTGAATATAATGGAGTCATGATATAATGAAACATTTTCCACAGTGAAGCACATTAATTTAGTAATTTTCCCTAAATAATTACAGTGTTTCAGTGTAAATTATTATATGTAAAAAGAGCCAAATCATTAATGTAATGTTTGCTATTGTTAATGTAACTTATTTGAAGCTGCAGCTTGTTTATTTTCTGGTCTCTTAGTAGGGTGATTGCATAGTAATCTCCTCTGGCAATGTCAAAGATAGTAATTCTTGGGTCTGCACTATTATATATTTATAGGATATTGAATTTGTGTTTCTGGTTTGCCTATCCCAGAACTCCAGCTGAGCAGTGAAATGCACAGCTGAAATACATTTAGGTCCTGTGTCAACAGGCTTTGGGCATGTATTGATGGACAGCTTGTGTTTGAGATCAGTTTGATGTGCTTCTGAAATAATTCACAGTTGGAAGCAAAAAGATATTTGCTACCTCAGAGGTGCCAGCCACATCCCCGTTTCACCAAAGTCACCTGTGGATCCAAGACCTTGCCTGGTCTATTAAAATGCAATAATCAGCCTCAAGCTCCTCACTGTTTGGCCTAAGGTTTATTGTACAAACAGATGCACAAAGTAAACAGATATCAAGATGAAAAGCACTCACACAAATGTTTTGTATTTAAAATGCGTCAAGGATATAGACCTTCAGATGTGTTTGCACTGTGCATCAGTGCAATAAACCTTCAGTTAAGCAGTGAGCAGCTTAGACCTGGTTTTTGGATCATTCACAGTTCATTGACAAAAGTATTGACTTGCAGCTGACCTCCTTCTAGGCTGAATCAATCTGCTTCAATCTTACTTTTGTATTACAATTGTATGGGGAGAAAAGGAGTTCCGACACAAACAAGAGCCTGTGATCATATTTGTATCTACCAAAAATTTGTGTAATTTTGATCAGCCAGTAAACCCTGGCTCACTGCATATCTACGTTGATGATACTGCTTTTCTTTTCTACAGCTTCTAATGACACCTGCCTTCTCAACGAATTTTAAAAGAGCAGCGTCACACAGCTGCACTATCAAAATATATCATTATCAGTTATGAACCAAAATGTTGTATACTTAGCTCATTTATCTGCAAGGAAGGTGGTTAGTAACTGCCTCATTACGACACTAAAGGGGAGCAGCTATTAGTGCACATATCAATAACCACTTAACAACCGCCCTATGGCAGTTTTACTGCTACAGGGCGGCATTCCTGTGCACGATTACATATACATAAAAAAAAAAAATCTATATATATATATATGTGTGTGATTTTGCAACTCCGCCACTCCGCTAGAGGATCGCTTCTGCTGTACAAGTCTCAGTGAGCAGTTGCTCACAGACACCTGCAGATCTTCGGTCAGGGAGGGTGAACAGAGCTGTATCTATGTTTAGATAGCTACAGTTCTGCTGTGACAGCGGGGGGAGTCAAAAAGTTATAGCTAGGCACACACTTAACCCATTGATCACCCTAGATGTTAACCCCTTCCTAACCAGTGCAATTAGTACATTGATTAGTGTATATTTTTAGTAATTTTCACTGTATTAGTGTCAATGGTTCCCACAAAATGTCAGTTAGTTTACAAATGTCCACCACAATATCGCAGTCCTGCTATAAGTTGCTGAAAGCCTCCATTACTAGTATAAAAATAAATAAAAATTCCAGTATATGTACCATAGTTTGTAGACACTATAACTTTTGTGCAAAGTAATCAATATACAATTATTGGGATTTTTTTTAACCAAAACTCTGCAGTAGTAATACATTTTGGCCTAAATTTGTAAAGAAATTAGATTTTTACATTTATTTTTATTGGATATGTTTTAGAGCAGAAAATAAAAAAAATTAAATTTCAAAATTGTTAGTCTTTTTTTGTTTATAGCGCAAAAAATAAAAACCACAGAGGTGATCAAATACCACCAAAAGAAAGCTCAATTTGTGGGGAACAAAAAGCATAAATTTAATTTGGGTACAGAGTTGCATGACCGTGCAATTGTCAGTTAAAGTAATGCAGCGCCGTATCACATAAAAATGGCCTGGACGGGAAGGAGGGTAAATCTTCTGGAGGGCAAGTGGTTAACGCTCATGGGAAAGCATGCAATGTCCCATTATAAGGTTGCAGACATCCTACCTCTGTTTATGAAGAGGCAAAATGGTTCAAAGAATTTCTGATTGTGACACTAACCACCAAAAGGGCTTTCCTCTGATCCTTTTCCTAAAAGGCGCTGTGGCACATGTGGTATGCTGTCAATAGCCCAGTGAGTACAACACTCAACCAACAGAAGTATTATGAGGCAGTCTTATGCTTTTATCAGCACACCACAAAATTCTAAAAACATTTTCCAAACCTGGATAATGATATATAAGGTTCCTAGCATTTGAGCAGCAACCAAGTTTTCTTTGAACTTGTGTGAGTGTTGTTTTGCTTCAAACAGGAAA